ATATAAATATAAGATTTAGAGTAATAAAATAAAAGTGAGATAATTATATGATTGGATAAAAATAATGATAATCAGATGATAAATTGTAAAAATTAAGAAAAAGAGAATTTCGTATAATCAAAGAAAAATTATCGAATTAGAGAAATTTATGTTATTATGGTAATAATATATCAATAACTTCAATATTTCTAAACAATTTTTTTTTAATACAAAAAATGTTCTAATATAATCATATTATTTATAACTTGCTTTTTTAAAAGAAAATTTATTAATAATATATATTTTTTGATATAATTAGCATTACGTAGTATTAGATAATAATATAACACTTGCTGACCAATATTATGATTGGTTGATTATAAAATCACGTGATTAAATACACGTGACCTATCAAGCGACTCGACTAAGTTGTCTTAATCAATTTTTTTGCAGACTTGGTCGAGTCAATAATTAAGAGTCTACTATAAAAAACACTAAAAAAACCAGCATGATGTTGATAAATTCACCGTTAGTCAATTGCAAACCACTAAGCATGCGATCCACCGGTGGTATAAACCAATAAGGATATGCAAATTTTTGATCAAACCTCGAGTACTAATAAAAATGTCGGTGAGGCAATTTTATATAGGCTTACTCTTCCTCTAACCCTACTCTAATCAACCTTTGGGTAATTGTTATGTCTATGTCACCGAACCTGACACATTCCGGATATGCCAATTGCTCGTATTTATGTGTTTATGTGTTGTTACAATACTGTAAAAGATTGATAAATTATTATTTAATATTTCTATAGACCCACCCGCGCGCTTCAATGCCCTTTTTAATCCTATTTGGCATCGATTCATACAACTTTGTAGTGATCGATATCTACGCTATTCCACGCGATTTGTAGTTTTACCCACAATTCGCTTTTGGTGGAAAGTGACACAGGAAATTGTCTCAGCACGTATCGACCTCGTTTCGATTGGGTTTAGGTCGGTGGCCAGTCAAGCAAAGCAATGTTACTATCAACGAACCATTTCTTTGTTTTTCCAGAGGTATGTTTTGGGTCGTTATCTTGCTGAAAGATAAACTACCTATCCTACAGCATTTTCTCCCAGACCGTCCCTAAAAAATTAGTATTTAGTACAACTCGCCAACGCCATCAGCTATCATGCAACCCAAACCATAATTGAACCCCCCACCAAATTTCAGTTGGCGTGATATGCTGGTCTTTCAACGGTTCGCCGGGTTTCTTCCAGCAATATTTTCGGCCGTCTGATCCAAAAAAATTGGTACTTGCTTCGTCAAAAAACACGTAGAAAACAACGACTGGCATGGCTAAGAAATACTGAAGTTGGACGGCCGACGATTAGTGACGTTTTTTTCGCTTGATCCTTGCGAATAAGCCATTTCTTCGGAACATACGTCGCATGCTCTCCGCCGAAAGGTTAACCCCAACTCATTTTTAAGCTCACGTTGGACTTCGACGGCGGTGGTACATTTTCGGAGTAGATTAATCGCAAAGCATTTCGTTCGTAGCGTGCTGAGAGTTGTAGGCGACTGGGGTTTTGGCTTGTCGAATCTTTCGGTCGCTTCTTTCTTATGATATATTCTATGGATTGAAGCTAAACCTACTTTCTTTGATGCTGCAATTTCCCGGATCGAGTATCCTTCTTGTCGGAGGACGTGTATTCGGACGCGTTTTTCTTGTAAAATTCGAGGCATTGGGGTAAAAATTTGAAATATATTTTATTACAGTAAATGAGAATTCCAAAGCATTTGTACTTAACTTTTATAGCCTTCCATTCACTAGTAGATTCTGTCATATTAAAAAAAATAAAAAATCGATATCTTTTTTGTTAGATCAAAATAATTTTTGGATTCATCAATACTCAAAGTATCATTGAATCAAATTACTTACCTTTACCTGTCGATATTCCCTCAATGGCGAGGCATTTGTATCTCGCCCATTTTTTTTCGGCGTTCCGTTTCTTCTCCGAGACAGTATCAGTAAACCATTCTTACGAATGATCTGGGACCGCCCAAAGTCAAAATCCTGTATCAGTTAAGTTCTGGATCAAATTCTGTCTGGGATCAGCAGTCTTTGGACCAGAACGGACCGAATCGGACTTTTAATATCTCTAATAGTGACCTTTCCTTCTGAGATTTCACTTAACACATGCACGTGAGATTATATTAACACCTGAGAGCTTGCCTTGTCATTATGTATATGTTGATATTTATTATCGTTATCGTTACCGTTATCGTTATTTCATAACGACGTGGCGATACCGTTCTGGATTTGTTGATCGTGTACAATTTTTTTTCATGGCATCAGTTGCATTTATCCAATGCTTAACTTCATTTGAGACATCATCTGCCATTTTTCAACAAACTCATTGTTTGCTTCTCGATCAAATCGAACACTACTTTCACTGTTCTTGTCACCTTTACCAACAAAAGCGATGGGCGTTAAAGGTGATGAAAATATGCCTTATGAGTTGCTACCGTTCTCATCATCATTTTTTTATTCAGACGGACCAGCCCAACAGCTCCAAAAAAGAGAGTAAGAAGTTGAAATAAAAAGGGTGGGAAGGAAGGTCGCAAGAAGCCATGAGCCACACCCAGCGACACTATTCCTTGTCCGATCGGCTCAACGTTTCCACGGCCACGCCCAGTAGCACGGCCCGTCGGTTAAAAGCCATGGAGTACGTTGTGGCTCAACTCAACGTTTCCATGACTACGCACTACTGATCTACCCAACCGGATTAGCCATGGAGTGCGCTGACACCACCTGTTGATTGCACTTGAAATAAAAAAGGGTGGGAAGGAAGGTCGCAAGAAGCCACGAGAACTACTAGCGACACTATTCCTTGTCCGATCGACTCAACGTTTCCACAGCCACGCCCAGTAGAACGGCCCGTCGGTTAAAAGCCATGGAGTACGTTGGCTCGATCCAACGTTTCCATGACTACGCAATACTGAACTACCCATCGGTAAACCTGCCGGATTAGTCATGGAGTGCGCTGACACCACTGTTGATCGCAGCAATTATACTTTCCTGTTGAAAGTAGTGGAAATCAAAACGGAAGTGCAAGTAAAATCGAAATAGAAACAGACTATTAACAGACTATTTTTGTTGACATATGTATGATAAGTCGTTCTAATTGGCTATATTAAAACGTGATCTATTGTACACACACCTACCGGAAATTGATCGATCCATTTTAAAAAATGTATTGTTACTATAATTTCATAAAAGTATCAAAAGTATCAAAAATATCCAACATATCCAATATATCCAATATATTTATTATATATATTATATTCAAAATTAAATATAAAGTGAATCTAGCTAGTCAATAAACTGTCCCTTTGTTTATTGTTAATGAAATTGTATAAATTATTATACTTGCATTATTGTACTATATTGAACTTTCAATTAGATTGCTAAAGAATATTAGTACGGTATTGTTTTAGAACTGTTCTCACACTAAGTAGAAAACAAGACTCTATTAATAGTAATGATACTTTATCTTGAAGATAAAAAATATATTGCATATTGATTCATAATTAATGAGTTCAATATTGATATTATTATAGAATAATTAAATATTTATTTCACAAAATTATCTATTTGAAGTAAAAATGATCTTTAAAATAATGTCATCTAATTAAATAATTTGCCAAAATTAAATCTGAATTAATTTTATTAATAATTAAAATTGTTTCAGAAATTATTTGGATTCTACAAATTAAAACAAGTATTTCTAGATGATTTTAAGTATTCATTAATTAATAATGCTTCAGTCAAATCTGTAATCTGATCCAAAATGCACATTTTGAATCAGGTTGAATTGGAATCAAATTTGATTTGAAATATTTCAAATTAGTTTAAAAATTATTGTTCTCATTTAATATTAATTGAAATTAAATAAAAATTTGTAAATATATATACAATTATATTCTGAATAATTCTACTTAGGATACAAAATACAAGTATCTTAGTAAAAATAAATATTATTAATAAAAAACTATTTGATAATTTTCAAATCAAATTTGTTTCAAATTTAACTTAAAATTGATATTATTATTATTTTATATGATTTTAAGCTTTGTTACAAAAGAAATATGTAAATAACATGTATTATCAAATTAAATAAAAGAGTTTATAAAATATAACTTCAAGTGAAAGAAAAAATATGAATATTTAAAGGTAAATAATATATATTTATTTGTTGATCAACTAAAATAAGATTAAAAATATTCAAAAATAATTAAGTTCTTTTAATAATTAATTTATAAACAAGTTGAATATAATTTCTTTTATTAATTTAATTAAATACTTATTGATTTTATTAATATAAACAAGAAATTAATTTTAAATATTATAAAAAATATAACTTTACTAATGTAGATAAAAAATTATATAAGATAAATAATAAAAATAACTTTGCAATTAAGACAAATAATTATAAATTAATTAAATAAAAAAAATATACAAAAGATAAGTTAAGTTCAACCAAGATAAGATAAAATGAAATTCTAAGCTAAGATATATATTGTATTAAATAAATTATAAAAACTAAATTTTCAATAAGATTATAAATTAAATTAAATTTCAAACTGAAATTCAAATTAAATAGAAATTTGAACTGAAATTCAAACTGAATTTTGAACTAAATTTCTAATTTAAATATTTGAATTTCAAATATTAATTATAAATATTATTATTTAATAAGATTGTTTTAAATATTAATATAGAAATATATAATTAATTATAAGAAATATTGAATTATAACAGATCTCTCAATGTTAAATATTTAATTCTGTAAAATTATTTTTTAATAGTAATAGAATTACTTCTTTTAAGTTTTGTGCAAGTGATTTAAACATTATGATAATTTGTTTTTTCAGACTATTACTTTTTGTATAACTTAATTTTCCAATTTGACTAATACTAATAATTTTATTAATTCTCTTATAATTCAAGATTTTGATAAAGTATTCAAAAGTAATTATGAATTTTTATAATTGTATAAGCTTTTTTAAGAGAATTTTGAGATAAAATATACTATTTAATAAGTTATTAATTGTATTTTAATGTTTCTTTGTGTAATAATTATTTTATTAGTTAAGCTTTTTATAATTCAGCCAATTTCAAAGTATAAAGCTATAATAATAAATTGTTTAAATATTATAAAATTATTATATATTACAAAAGAAAATTTATTTGCAAGATATTTTGATAAAGTATTCTATCTATTTGTTTAGAGTTAACTAGAATTTGAGCAATATCTTTGATAATCTTTATTTTAAAAATCTTTAATTGTAATTATTTTTAATTATTATATTAAATTTTTTTTATATACTGATGAAGTATTAATAAATTAAAATCTATTATAATCAATAGTTAATTAAAATTTAGAATATTATTATTATAATTTGTTATATTTATAATTATAAATTATAAAAAAAGTTTAATTAATATTTTAAATCAGATATTTCTAAAGTTATAAATAAAGGCAAGTTTTCCTCTTTTTTCTTATTTTCTTCTTTTATAAAGTTCAATTACTAATTGTTGAATTTCAAATAAAATATCTTTAAAATTAATAAATGATATAAAAAAATAAATAAAAAAATAAAAATAAAAGAATTTAAAAAATATAGATTTTTAAGAATTTTAATATATATATATTATATCCAAAATATCTATCAGTCCAATTATTAAATTGAATAATTCAAATTTTAATTAGATTTTTAAATAATTCTTTTATTTCAAATTCTAATTGAGATTTGAATCTATCACCAAATTCTAATTTTTATTTGAAATAGTTTAAATATCAATAAGATAATTAATTAATATATATATAATTATATAAAATTTATTTAAATATAATAATAAAAATTGTATTAATATTAATAACTAACTTTTTATATTTTTATATTTAATAGTATTATTTAGATAATATTGAGTATTAAAATCTATATCAACTCTTTTATATTTATAATATCTTTTAAGATAATTATCTTTATATAGATATTTTATAATAATTATAAAATTAAAACTTTGCTAAATGAAAGTTTTATAAATACTTAAATATATTTAGAATAATTATAAGTTTTGAATATTCTTGCAAGTTCCAGCAATAAAAAATAATTCAGTAACTAAATAATATTTATTTAATCTTTTATACTAATATTTTAAGATATAAATATTGTACTTTATATATAGTCAAATCTCTTTATAGTCACACTTATTTATAATTATACTTCTCTATAGTTATTCTATTTTGCTTTTTTATTTATATATAAATATAGTAAAAAAATTTTTTTATAGTCATATTCTCTCTATAGTCACCAAATTTTGCATTTCTGAGAGTGATGATTATAGAAGAGTTTGTATTTAATACTTTATAGAATATATTATTAATTGATATTAGTATAATTAACTTTTGATATCTAAATTTGAATCAAGTCATCTAGTTCAAATTGATATAAATATTTTCAATTTTTCTCAATTTTTCTCATATTTTTTTATATATTTTTTCAAATATTGAATAGTTTTGATTTCAATATTATCTTAAATAACAACAAAAACTGAAGAAAATAATAATGATTTTATTAATAAAGTTTCATTATTTGTATATAATAAAAAACTGAAAAGATTAATGATATTTCTTAATAATAATATAAATATACTAGATTTAATAGAAGAAAGAGAAAGTTTATAAAATTTTGATAAGTCCTAAAGTTACAGAGTTAAATTTTAATATAAATAAAAATTTATTTCAATATAAATAAATTTTTATTATTTATTGTTATTTAAAATAAATTTTTATTATTTATTGTTATTTAAAATAAATTTTTATTAT